CGCTGCGCCACCAGGGAGGGCCTAAAACTGATTTTTTTTAAAAAATGATTTATTTATTTAGGCATACAAGAATTGGGGGTACAGGCCAGAAGGGTGTGGGAGTGTGTGTGTGAGAGGATTCACCAGAGACAGAGTGGGTGAACAAAACAGGTAGACTGACTGAAATGCACTGCTGAAGGGAGCAGCCAGCCAGACAGGAGAGGTCTAATGAGCCACACGGGTTGAACTACTGACCAGGGGTTGAACTACTTACTGCTGCAGTGGCTGAGGATAGCTTCACAGTGCCACTATGGTGACCCCTAAACTTTACATTTAAAAAAAAAAGTTTTTAATTTACCCTTACATATCATGACACGTCTCATACTTAGCTGATCTGTGACCTCGACCTCTTTCTGGAAAAGGGAAGAACATTCTTTAAAAGTGATTAATTACTTCAAAAAAAAAAAGTGATTAATTACTTCAGTTAACATATTGTTTTTAAATATAGGCCTCACATCTTTTTTAAGCTCAATTCCAAAATGTGAAAGGCATTCTAATGCTCTTCTTCAATACAACATTATCTGTACTAATAAATATCCCTGATATCTGAATCCATTAATAATCTCACTGAAATGATACCTCTATATAAAATTCATTTTATATGTGCTAGTTGTTGGAGAGGGCTTTGGCATTGTTTTTATGGCTAAACTGAGAAATATGTCTTTAAGCTGAAAGGCTCTGGATGTGCATCAACCACACTATACATTCCTAGGTTTTTACATTGATAGATAAGTAATCATTTGGCACTATCAACTTCAAATTCCTTCTCTGAGTAACTCTAAAATAATAGTATAGAAAACCTATTCAACATCATCTCTGGACTGATTGTAGAAATACAGTGGCAGTTTGTGGACCACATGGTGTTTGGCCTTAATCTCTGCAGATAGAGAAGCCAAAGCCAAAAACAATAATGAGAATGGAGTCTATTTTGAATAAGGACAGTGATTTAATAAATAAAATGGACCAGAATGCCTGACCCAAGTTGCAGGTAACATAATAAAGCCAACTAGTAAATCTTTTCGTGAATTTTCAAGCATGACTTAGCAACTATCAAACCTACTAGTATAAATATTATCTTCCTTCTAAGAGAGCCCAACTTAGATTCAAAAGCACTTCATTTTGAAAGGCACACCAGAATGAAAAGGGCCCAGATTTTAAAAGCAAGACATCGCCACCAGGGGGCGCTGCTTCAGCGAACGCGCAGGAACGCGCGGCGGGGAGCGGACGCAGGTCCCCCAGTCCTTGGTGCGGCACCGGCCCGGACCTTGGCCCCGGACCCTGCCCGGCCCTCGCGCGTTCCAGCCCTCGGCCTTTAGAATGGCCCGTGGTGTGGCAGTTGCAACATGCCCGCATTCCAACACACGTGAGTGGGGCGCCGGCTCCGGGCTCCGGGCTCCGGGCTCCGGGCCCCGGAGTGTTGACTCTCCGCCTCGGCTGCCGCAGGGCTCACGACACAATCTGTGTTTGGAGAACGTCCCAGAGCTCGGTCTCCCCCACTCGGGCTCCTCCCGTCAGCTCCCCGCATCTGTCCGGCCAGAGTCGCCCTCCCCAGCTCCCCTCCTCCCTCCGGCGAGGGGACCGGCCCGGGACACGCGCGCCGCGGCCAAGTCCTGGTTTTGATTTCCCTGCCGGCTGCGAGGAGCGCCGAGGCTCCAAAACCCACAAACAGGAAGGAGCGAAGGAGCCGAGTGCGGGTAGGGGAGGGTCATTCCCAGC